GCTACTGCAAGTATTTCTGCTTTAGCATGGATAATTCTGCCCCCTCTTTTTCCGTAGTGGCAGCTGAATTTCTGCAGTTCTGCTTTGGCATTGGAAATGTTATGATTGTTCCTGTACAGACCAGTAACATTCTCACTTGAACTACAGGATTTATGGAAGCATAGAAAGCATACAGCTAGAGATATCTATAAAAGCATGGGGCTTTTTCTTTCTGGAATTTTCAGAAAAAAGCCTCTGATGTTGAAGAGATTTAAAATTCTTTTTTTGTTATGAATACATGTCTATAGAAATGCTGATATTGTTATGTGCTACCAATGTAAAACTCCTAGCATAGTAAAATGTAAAAAAATGTCTTTTTGTATAAATTGAGTACACAAAAATATTTTTCTGACTCATGCTTAATTTTTGCAATGCTCTTGAAACAGTTAATGAATTATTCCACCTCAAAATATTTTCACATATTCTTATCCCTAAACATGGATTTAAGTGTTCCATGATATATCTGTGGTTCATTAATAAAAATACATCCCTTTACTATAAATGAATATGTCCTTAAGAAGCTTCATAGAGAAACATATTTTATAATTTTTAATATAGTTTTCCTAATAGTTATCATGTATTTCATACAACCATCTTCTACTTTGTCAGCTTGGAGCAAGATAGCAACTCCTCTGATATTCAGGAACTGCTGTTGTACCAACAGCCTGAGCACCTTTGCATTTATTATCTTTTTGCAGTGGAATAATAATATGGAAGAAGGGAAAGGGTGGGAAAAGAGCAGGTCCTTGTCATTTCTTTCTCAAATTCAAGTATATGCTGCTCTCTTGTGGAACTTCTATGGTAGTTACAAGCCCTATATAAAGGTGTCCTTGCCTTTCTAACTGTTTCATTTTGTTCCACTGAATATTGCTAAGACAGATTTAGTGCATATGATGTAGCAGGTTTTTTTTCAAATTATACTACATAAATACCAATTTGCCTACTAATGTACTGTTGTTTGGTATTTTTCATTCATGGTCAGCTTCCATTGTTGACATAGCTGTGCTTGCTGCTTTTGGAATTAAATTTGTGCTGTTTTGTAAAAAAACATACTTTTGCTAATACTGGAAAACTGCCTCTTTTACTCTTTAGGTGACACTGAAATACACCTGTAGTTTTTTCTGGTTCACTCTTTCAATTAGCCTTAGTAAGAAAATAAGTGGTTTAAAGAAGGGAACAAAAACTTGGGTATCTGTTTGCATGATGTTTGTGTCTGTGGGGTATGTCGTCCAAATTATGGACTCTAAAATCTACTATTATTTGTTATGAAACTGAGTGCTGAGTGAAATTTTTGGAATAATTTTTCAAAGTGTGTCAATGTCCAGCCAAAGAAAGGAGGTGATACAGTTACAGAGCCGTGCTCTCTGAGGCCCTGGGAAGCAAAGAGCTCCACAAGCAGGAAAACTTTGATGCCTGGTGTCCTGAGGACGTCTTTGGGGTGAGATTTTCTGCTTTCCAAGGAATATAACTGAATACATGTGTGTTTGAGTTTACATGGTAGTTACTGTGTCATAAAGAGCATCTCTCTACCTTGACATCCATTTTCATTACAAGACAGAAGCATTTGAGGCTGTTGCCCTTCTGTCAGATGTGATCAAAAATGTTATTTATTATTGAGTGATAGGGTGGTAGAACAATTTATTACCTATTTATCTGGAAAACATAAGATAATAGTAATAACAATAAGCCTCATTTGTGCCTGAACATACCCTACATTCTTACATGTTATGCAGCATATTTTATCCAGTAGAATCCTAAAGAAATACACAGACTAAGTGTCCCCCCTTCTGGCTCACCCTTAGAATTTCTACTGCAAACCCAATAGTTTGTTTCTGGAAAGTCTGGTTGAGTTCATTGGTATAACACACACCCAGCAAAATGCTCTACTACGAAGAAACACTTCATTCCCTGATATAAATACTTGCTGCCACCTCTGCTGAGAGAAAAAAATATTCTCCTTAGTGCAAGTACTTATTCCTGTAAGCAGCAAGGATCTTTGAAGATATGTTAGAGTACCACCATCATTAAAATCACACAGGCAATTTCAAGAACAATGAAGTAAGCCCTGTTCAGAAAGCTGGGGTAGGGTTTAGACATTCGGTCCTCTCTAACCCTTGGAGAAGCACCGCCTGTGTTCAAAGGGGGGTAAGAAAGGTCCTGGAGGTATCTTTAGTGCAAACTGGGCTTCCATGAGGCAATGGCTAACACACTATAGACACAGCCTCTGGCTCCCTGCACACCAGCTTCTCTGTGTAGCCAAGCCTTGTATTCTCTTGCTTGCAGACAGGATACTCTCCGGTGAAAAGAGGGAGTCCAAAGAATCAAGTCATAATCAGTGTGCTTTTGTGACTCCTGTGAAAAAGAATGAGAGTTACAAAGGAAAAGCAAGTAGATTTTGAGTGTACAATATTTCAGAAGAGATTGGGAGAAGGTGTTTTTATGATATTCTATTATGTCTCCTCTTTAGAGAGAGGCTAAGCCAGTGCCAAAGGAATAGTTTTCCAATGTGCTATTTGTTCACAGGATGGATGGGGCTGACAAACTGACCATCAGAACGGTTTCTTTGTCCTTGGAGCTCCAGGTGGTTTAACAGTGCTGACAAGCTACGTGTTTTTACCAAAATGACTGTTCATTCCTTTTTAGATGACTTTTCAACCCTTTCCAGCTTATTTTTCAAGGACTTTTAAAGGAAAAAAAAAAATAAAGCAGGGTATAATAGGAGGGCAGTGGGGAGGTAAGGGTAAGGTAATATGGGGTGTACACATTATAGGGAGAGGGTCTCTCTTGCCTTATTCAGAAACACATTCACCTAGAGAAAACTCAGAGATAGAAGTATCAGTGTTCATGTCACATAAATAAGAATCATGGCATAATCATGGCTATAATCAGATTTACTATCAGCAAGATTGAAATGACTGTATTACGTTCCATGCATTTAAGGATTTAACGTGCAGTATTAAAATTATTCTCAAGAGCCTTAGAAGAATTTTAATATAATATTTTTGTATTGATTTTAATAAAATATTTGAAAGTTTAGTCCTTTAGGATAGCTAAAGATAATATGATAATTACCTAATGTAGACAGCATATAACGTTGTTGGCATTCATGATTATAACCTGGTTTAGTCCATGTAGATTAGAATAGAATAAAGAACAGAGTGATTTATTGCTAATAAAGAATAAGGAGTTATTCTTGCTTACTACTTTAAGTTCTGATTTTGACCAGCTTGTAGGGATAAATATAAATTGGGGGCCGAACAGAGAGGACTAATGACTTCCTTTGAGCTGTTCCTAATGCAGCTGGCTCCTCACTGCCAGGATCTGCAGCTGAGTCACAGTCAGCATGTTGACCACCAAGAGCGACTTCCAGGCTTGCAAGCTATCTTAGCACCTCTGTAATCTCTCTGCAATATTTGTAAGGATATATTTCATTTTTATTATGTATCTTTTTCTAATTATAGATAAATTCTTTACACCTTTTGAAATAATCAGTCAAAATATTCAACTACTTTGCAGGTGGAGACAATTTTGCCCAGAAAGGGATAGAAATAGGGAAAAGTGACTGCATATATTCTCTGTTACCTAGCTGTGGGTGGAAAAAATGCTGACTTCTATATGCAGTAGTTACTTTGTTAGCTTTTCAGGCAAGAACTGGGGAAGAGAGTTGCCTTATGTTGCACAAATTGGGCTAGAGACCTTGAATCCATTGACTCTCAGAACTATGTTGACTTGGTTGAGGTCTGAGGATTATTGGGATAAATGGCACTGGCATCCTGAATTTCTGATAAAACTACATTGGCAGTTCATCCAAAGAGGGCCAAATATCCACATCCAGTGCATAATGGGGTAATTATATTTTATTTGCATCATTCCTAGCACCCAAAAGATGGATGTGATATTTGATGGAAACTAAGACATTTGTTTTGAAAGGTTTCACCATTACTTGTTTAGCAAATGGTTGTGTCTAATCTTCTTTCCTGCACAGCTGTCCTCATTGCTGAGCTTCTTCAGGGAATAAGAGAGAAAGTTTCTGCAAGAATGCTGCTCCCTTCTTAGGAATGGTCTCTTTGCCTTTAAAAGTCTGTTCCCTAAAATGCTTAAAAAACTTAATTAACTTCTGGTCCTCATTCCTTTCTTCCATTTATTTACAGAAACTGCTCACTGGTGCATACGATTGCACTTGCTCTTCAGCAGCAGCGTAAACTTTGCATCATCTCATCAGGGAATTGCACTGTATTGTTTCCTTCTGTCTTATCACTTTACTTTCATCTTATTTTAAAAGCTTATTCATAGCACTGAAGCCTTTCCTCAAAGTTGTTGGGTGTTTGCTAAACTTTTATCACGTTGTCACAATTCAGCTGCAGATGCTGGCACTGAGAGAGGGAACTGCACACACAGCTGCACGAGTAACAGCTCGAAGGAGGTCATTAGTCCTCTCTGCTCGGCCTTGAATTTATATCTATGTCTGATATCAGAAAGGAGATCTACATGCTGTGGATTTACGTGTCCTTGTTTCTAGGCATGCTAAATCAGCAAAAAGGAGCACAAAGGGCCATGGCAGTGACAACAGTGACAGCTAGAGCAAGGAAAAACATCGGCAGAGCAGAGATTTGCCAGCTGTACTGTAGTGGATAGTGCAATGCTGTGTTCAAAGAGATGCAGATGAGAGCAGGAATAGGAAAAGGAAACGGTCTCTGATGGGACCCTCCCAGTGCAGTAATCCGTGTCTCTAAATCTCCACATTGCCTTGATTTTATTTCTGCATCTGCTACAAAGACAGCGTCGTGGGAGAATTCACAGGCCGTGCACCTCCAAAACGTAACGGTACCCGGATTTTGGGCAGAATTTCTGACCCGCCTCCCGCGCTGCGCGGTGGCACCGAGCGAGCGGGGGGCGGTGCCCGCGGGCAGAGCGGCGCGGCCGCAGCGCCGCCTGGTGGCCACGGGCCGAACTGCGCCGGGACCCGCGGCCGAGGACCACCCGCCCCGTGCGGAGGCAGCGACCGCCAGAGCTGCCGGTGCTTTGCTGTGAGGCACCGACACACACGACAGGAAACTGACAGTATTTTAAAACTTACAGGATTTGCCGACTGTCGCGTTCTGTTTGAACAGGCAACTGTCTCACGGTGAAGTAACTCCCTGATACCGCTTCCTCTCCGATGTTACCGTTGTAGGATTGTCATCTTACCGTAGCAGAGGGATTTCCTGTGTCAGTAAGGGGAGAATTCCCTGGAGTTCCAGACAAAGACAGACCCACAGCTTGCCATTGATGCTGAAGTGCAGAGTTGTAAGAACTCTGGTATTGTGGTTAGCTGGGGAGTATAGGTCAGACTAGAGGCGTCCTATGCCAGGGAAACAATTAATATGTCGTTTTATCCCGTGCAAAATATTTATCACCTAGAGCTGATGATCGATATAGCAATTGGATTTTTCAGATACAGTCAAGGTGTTTTCATAACAAAAGACTCATTTTTTTCAGGTAATGAAATCCTCCAATAACCAAATATGAAATATTGACATTACTCCTGTGTTTATTTCCATTTAAATTTTTTACCTTTTTTCATTCTCAAAACATGCAAGCTCACACTGGCAGGAGTGTCATGAGCTTTGTCTCTGCATTTTATTACCTACTGCCAAATACTCTTCTCTCCTCCTTTTTAAGTCCAGCGCATATTTCAGCATCAGTGCTGCTAGGCATAACCAGCTTGTCAAAGTTTATTTTAGAAGCTATTTACTGTAATTTGTGAGGGAGATTGGTGACTCTTTGGTTGCTCCACAGCTGCTTTGCAGTCAATCAAAAGTAGAGAAGTAATTTAATTCCAGTGTCCTCTCCAGAGAAAATCTTTGAAAGGACAATAATGAAGTAGGAACATGATGGACACAGAAAAAAGCAGAGCACAGGACAGATGCCTCAGTTGTGTAGTTCCCATCCAAAAAGTGTACCTTGCTCATTATTCATGTGTTCAGTGCAGGAGCTCTCATACCCATCTGTTACTGAGGAATGAGCTGGAAATAGCTGTTGTACTGTTGCAGGAACAGTGTCATGAAGAAAGAGTAACAAAACCTCTGGTAATAGTGTTAATAATTGTAGACTCCAAATGTAAAGATAGGGCAGGACTTGGTTTTATAAGCAAGGTAACAAAGTTATTTTCCTGTATGTGTTTCTCTGTTGCAGGCCCACCATTAACATTTCTAGGTTTAACCTCTGGTAAAGGGCAGGTTTAACATGCCTAGACTGAGAAAATTCACCTTCCCAGGACACTGACCATCTCACATCTCACCACATGTTCCAAGGGAGGTATCTCCTTTTTCTTCACTTTGACTTGGTACATGTGAGGCTTTTGAATGTGTCCACCTTAGTTGCCATGAGGTTTCACTCTGATTTGTTCTGTTTTTAGCACTGAGAATAAAAAGAGATTTCACTTTTCTTAGTAGTGATTGCATTTTAATTTCTGAGAGAGATATTATTTTGTAAGAAAAGAGAAAGATGACTGTAAACACAAGCAGAGCTATTTACTGATAATATCAAACTTAGACATTAATAATGACCTTTCTCTCACTTCAACAAATAACTAGGTGCTTATTCAAAAGATGGAGCTACTTTTTTCAGCCCCCTCAAAAATGCAAGCCAGAGTACTGGACACCTGACTGTATCCTGGGGACTCCTTCATGTTGTACATTTTCTGTTTTTCTGCAAGAGAGAAAATGTGGCTGTTACAGTTAAGTCTTTAAATGGGGAAGTCTTTGAAAATGTCTTGTCATCCACATATGCAAGTTCAGGCCTTACATACTCAAAAATCTTCTGATGTCTTGGGCTCAGAAGTGTGTCTTGGCTCAGTGGTACCTTGCTCAAATATCTGATACCTCGTGTGCAGTTTCTCGTATATCCATTTATCATTTATTAATGGTATCATTAGTATGTTTCCAGAGCTATTGCCCTAGCAATGGATGTTGGACATACACAGACTAAAACAGCCTACATATGTATAAAGGTTTTTGATGCAACACTTTGTTCTTCCTCCCTCGTCTTGTACCAAGACATTGTAACACACCAGTAGTTCAAGTGTCTTAGCACACTTACTCACACACATATATATACACATGTAGTTATATATATGCAAACAGATTGGTTTTAAACTATCAGTAAATTTTCCAGAAGTCCAAAGTTTGTAATAATTAGCACTTAGAAAATTTTGTGAAGATTTTCATCAACATCATTCATGTTTTGACATGCAAAGACTAATGTTTATACAAAAAGTCTGCTAAAGGTTCATTGCTTTCATTTGCACCTCTGTTTGATTAATCTTTTTTCCTGGTCCATCACTTTTTTTTTTCCCATCAGTTAGGGGTTTTTGCTGTTAATCTAACATCTTTGAAGTCTCTCTTTGATTCCAGGAAATGAAAATTGGATGGTAATGTTTGAAAAGGTGTTATTCCTGTTAAATAATGAAGTCATTCTGGCTCAGTTTGTTCACTGATAGGTTTCCATTTGGCTAATTGGTCTGATGACATGTAAAAGTGTTTAGAAGACATCACAAAAGTGACAAAAAAAACATGTCCCCAATTTGTTTTAGTGTTCTGGTAAACTTTTCTGAAGTTTTTTCCTTTCTTCTTTTTAGAGCTGTAAACACCAGAAGGAGACTTTATTAAATTGCTTTTACCTCAGACTACAGACTACTTTCCATTAAAGTAATGGAAAAGGGAAAAATGTTTGAAACTGTTGCATCTTTTTTCTTTTTCTAAGGCAAGAACACTGAGAGTCCACACAATGGCATTTTAATAACTAGTCTTATTACCTTCACAGCAGTAGAAAAATGGGGGCACCTGGGTTTACCAAACTGGTTAAAAGGAAACAAAACAATTCCATACAATATTATCCTCGAAAAAGCACATAGGAGTATAAATATGTTATTTTCAAAATGTCAAGCAGTTCTATAGAACATATATATGAAGTCTAAGAAGATATTCACAGACTCTCTCTATTTTGCAGAATCTCAAGTGCTACAGCAACCCCTGATAGCGCAGCTGCATTTCCCTGAGTAATTAAGTCAATAACAGCATCCTTTGGAGACCTTGTGGTTCATATCTGTGCTAATGATGACCCATAACTAGTCCATCTTCTTCAGAACTGAGAACAAGCACCATGGCACATCTTGCATCAGTAGAGCTGCATTTCTCCTTTGCCTGTCCTTTAACCATCACCAAAACACACCTTTGTGCCCAGAGAGGCTGTGTGCATACTGCCTTGTGATGACTGTACTGTGCCTCCATGTACACATTGCCTGAGAGACTCCTGACTGCCACAGGGTGAGCCATCCTTGATATTCAGCCCAAGGCCACTTCACTTAAGAGGTAGTGTGTGAATGTGTGTAGTACACAGGTAGAGTAACTTCTATGTAAAAGTGAAAAGGAGAACAAATATATTCTCAGTGTATATTACTGTATGTATATTCCAATGAGGTCATGTTTCACTTCTTTTTAAAATTTTAAATCTTTTAAGAATTATAATCAATGGTGTTTTGAATTCAGACATATCAGTTCCTCTATGATCTTGATTTTTTTTTCTATTTCTCCCCTGGTAGTTGAAAAAAATACTTCTTTTATTGCATTCTAAATTAAACAGTTGTCAAGATACCATGATATTCTCTATGGATTCTGCATTGTAATCACAACTGATGAATCTGAAGTTCTGTGGTATTGCCTTTGGTAAGAGGTGGTTGTGGTTTTCCACACCAGCTTGCCCATGAGTACTCTCATCTCTTCCTGTTTTTTATTGTTTCTTGAACAATTGTTCATGTTGGACAAGAAAAACGTGCAAACTTGAGACCCCTCTGTACCTGGCTGTCTGTTCTTGCTGCTGCTGTTGCAGCTCTCTGTTCTTCATATTACAGTACTCACTGGAACTGCAATTACTAATTCAAGAAGTAAGATCAAAGCAGATACTGTTAACAAGTTGATTTTGTTTTGCTTCATTTCACATATTACCTATCAATTGATCTGAATCATTTAAGGTCCTCCCAGCCTGGCATTGCTTTGGTAATTTCTGTTGTTTTATCAGGTAACCAAACATGTCTTTTTGAAACTTTTATTTATGAAACAGAAGAAACCTACAATAATTAGGGAGTTTGGTGCTAGAAAATTTTGTAAAGTTTATATGTTTATCTGAGTGTCTTGTCTGCTAGTTTGGTGAGTCAGGCTGAACAGTGAGTTCTTTTTATCCTCAACTCAGTGAAGCTGGCATCCTTTCCATCCTTTGAATCATTATATTACATGCCTCCAGAATAGCTATATTGCTACTCTGGCCCTCTGCTGTGCAAATAAGCAAAGTAGCTTTCCCTTAATTTTTTACCCTTTCCCAATCAATATCCTTGCTTATAAATTGTTACACTGTTGTGGCTGTGGTTTACTTTTCATAGGTTTATGCTTCATATCACTGTATACATATACAGAACTTGGTGCTCAAGTGTTGTGTCTTGGCCCTGTCCTCACTAGACCACAGGGAAATTATGGAGAATCTAAACAGAGTTGATTTTACCTAAAGGTACTTTGCCTGGGAGTCCAATGCATGAGAATCTTGTGTGTTAAAGAGGGTTTTGGGAAGCCATGGAGGCCCTGGTTATAGGTGGTACAGGGCTGAAATCAAATCTGGGAATCGAACTACTCATCTTGCAATACTGTTGTGATTTTCTGTGCAAAAGAAACAGAAACATGATTCTGAGTGTTTGTTTGCTACTGAAAGATCATGAAATAGATATTTGTTTTGCCAGAGAATTCATTCAGGTGTAGCTGCATCACCAAAGTCTACAGAAAATTTGCATCACCCTCATAGATGGAGATAAGGGCCTACAAATGAAAAATTAACATGTTGGTTGAATTTGTTAGCATACTTATTTGTTAATATCAGCTTCCATATCCCAGAAGTGTCACATATGTTTGCTATAAAACAAGTGTACAGTGTGTGAAATAGTCTGCTCTAATTACAATCTAGACAATGCCAGGAAAGTGAAGCTAATTCAAGTCATCTCTATTAAGTCATCCAAAACATAGCATTACATGCCATGAAATCAAATTACTTGGATGCAGACTGGTGACAAGGGAAATATTATGTGGCGAGATCATGCCTTTT